TAATTGCCCCATAACTAGTAGTCTCCGTCTGAAACTGTCTCTTTTTCTCTTTAACAAAATTCCTGGAGAGGGTTCTGGGGAAAGCAAGGAGAAAACATTTTAACTGTTTAAAGAACAATGCTCAAGTGTCTTCCAGCTGAAGCTATTGTCTTTGGGGTTTCGGAAAGGGAAAACCCTGTGACAAGCATGGCCCCCTTTCCTTCAGAGAACAAATCAGCAGGATACTGGGCATATCTGACAGACCTAAAATCCTATGTATGCAAGTTACATATGACAGGACCTAAAAGCCTATGGATGCAATGGTTAGCCAAGCTTTACAAGACATACTGTACAATCTTCTTGTTCTGCCTTCCTCTTCTATCCTTAGATAGATTCCTATTCCATGTCCCCACCTGCTGTGTCCTTTCTGGAAGGAAGGCAGAAGTAAGTCATAGAACTGAAGCAGTGGACATCTTTATAGATTCTGGTGGGGAAGATCAGGAAAGGATTCATATAAGCAATCAGACTGCATTTATCTCCTACAATCCATACCCTGTGAAGACACTTGGGGACTGCCAGGCCCTTGATGGGGTGGGGCTAGGTCTGACGCAGCTGAAATATCTGAATGGTATATCATTGCTTATATAACCTCTGCATCCAACCGGAGCTCAAAAGCACAGTCAAATTTACTTCCAGTCACAAGAAAACTTAAATCTGATCATTTGGGACATCCTTTAAAGGTTCTACTCCCTCTTTTTGAGAGTCTAGCAATAAGGGTAGAGTGGGAGGCAGTGGAGTCTACAAAGAACTTGAAGAGCAGGCCCTGCCTTTGTACGAGGTCAAGAATAGCAAACGGTTTATCAAAGTCATTCTCTCATCCTCTGTGATAATGAACATGAGGCAGGCATGCCTATTGGCACTCTGTAAATACTTACTTGGATCTGACAGGGGTAAAATGGCAGGGGAATATCCATGCATGCTATGTAGGCATTCTCCTGCAGACTTCTCTCCCACGCCACCCCACTTTGTTAGAGAACAGTAACTAGCTCCCGTTTGACTCACTGTGCCAAATTGAGAAACCTAACCAAAAAACAGGCCAGAAAAAAAGCAAATATGTTGAGTGAGCAAGCACAATCTTCTGGCCTGTCTTTTCATCCTAGTTCTCCTCCTCCTTTCCCTGCATCCTGACACTGGTCCCCACCCTTTCTTTTCTCTATGTTTGTTTAACTCAAAGGCACATGTTTACGAACTTGAAATTAACCCAGGAACCTTAGGCTGCAATTCATTTTTTCCCTCCTTCTATCTCTTCCACACACAAGAAGAATACTGCTTGAATCTCTGTAGCCTCTAAAAGACCCTATATGATACAGATTCACTGGTGGCAGACTTTGCAAGGTTCACTTATTACCCTCTAAAAGTTATTTTCCAATGCAAGATGTCACCTTCATGGACAACTGTCTAAACTGTAGATAAGGACCCTACACAGTAAAACAGAAACATCTGATTAGAAGAGAATCCCCATTTCATTCAACAGTACCCTCCCTGGTCTAGTATGAAAAGCTAGTCAAAGAAATTAATCTTGGTAAGGTCAAAGAACCGCTCCCTCATGGTCATCTTCTTTCATTTGTCATGACTTCAGTAATATTACCATAGCATATGGGAAAATCATAAACTACCTCCCACAACTTGTGATAATCAATAGAATTGGCTTTAACTGCTCTTTTTGGCACTTGATTATCAATAGAAAGCCATTTGATTATCCACGTTTTGTCACTTGATTATCAACAGATAGCTATACAAGTCTCAATAAATCAGGCAGCTGAATTCTGCACATCTAGGATGATTTTCCCACAACTGATGATTTTCCCAACCTGATCATTCCCAGGTCTAAAGGTCTATCCATGGCAAATGGAAAGCAAGCTTTCCTATCCCACACCTCCTCCTCCTACCAATCACCCTTTCTCAATTTCCTTCATCTCCCTGATATCCCTACCTTTCCCAAGCAGACACAACCCATCATCCTAACCAAAACTACTTTTGTATTTCCCCAGCACAAAAGGAGGTTTGCTGCCATTTTCTATCATGGCTCTGGGCTCTTCTGTCTTTCACAAGGCTAAGTTATTCAGTTACCAAAACAGTCTTTCCCCACCTCCTTGGGCCCAGACTTCATTAATGTATACCAGAAATACAACCATCCTGGAGGACTTTATGGCATGGAAAACATCACTGGAGTTAGAGGCTGAGAAGACTAGATATATCCCTGAAAGTTATTAGTTCGTGGTTCTCACAACCTGTAGTACTCCCCCCAAAATCAAGCTATTCTCTAGGCCACGGTAAATAAACAGCATGATGGAGTGAAGCAAGCCACTGGAAGAACCAAAGAGTCGGTTTTCCCATCAGATGTTCTGTAGCCTTCCCTGACTGTCTCCCAGTGTGCCTGTGATAGGCTGAGGAAGTGAGGAACGAGAAGCACACCTTACACAGTGCCATCAGACACAAATGAAACAGCCATCTTCCCTACTACATAGCAGTTCAGGTGAAGAGAGTGCCAGGGCTAGGACAATGGGTTCCCTCCCAAACCATCACAGTGTCGTTTAAGGACTGCCCACTTCAAATTCATCTGAGACCTAGGGATGCCCAGGAAAGGCAGTGGTATTCCCAGGATTCCAGAACAAAAAATGGCAAGGCAAGGATTAGAATCCAGATAGTTTTAATTTACCAGTTCAACTCTATTTCTAGCCCAAAGCCACCAGTGAATGCAGACCTGTGGGGAGACAGCTTTATTATTCTAAAGCATAAAGAAAGCACACTAAAGTAGAAAAAAATAGAATGGGATTAATGAAATATCTCATGAAATGAAAAAGAAATGCATTAAAGTATAAAAAATGAAAATGGGATTAATGAAACATTTCTTGCTAAGAAAAAAAGGAGGCAAACATTATACTGAAAAAAAAAAACCACCCCCTTTATGTAACATCCTAGCTAACCCAGTTATACCTGGCTTTTACTCTTAGGAGCCAGGCTGTTTGAAAGCAATGGGTAAAGTGATTTTACCTCCTGCATATCCGTGCATGTAATAATGAACCTTCATATAATAGGGGCCAAGTGTACATTCAGCAGAAAGGGAATCATTAAAAGGCACCCTGCCTCTCCACACACGAGGCACTTCCTTAACAGTGTGGCCAAGAAAACCCTCATCTACCCCCAAATAATCCCCACGCCAGACCACAAATTGCTGGCTGCCCCATGCTTAGTAACACCCCCTGCCATGCTCCTATGGGCTCAGAAAATAGTTCAGGACCACAGCAACAAGCACTCTCAGAGGTGTCTGGCAGGTTGGGTCAGCCTGGACAAAGCTGAAAAATCACCTCTCTAGGGCAGGTTGTCTAGGCAGACTGAAAATTCTGTGGGCGGCCCAAGGAGGAAAAGAAAGGGAGGAACTGCCAGACTACCATGGGCTGCAGATCCCATTGTGACCTTGGTAGAAAGAGAGGGGAAGAGGAGGAGTTTGATTAGAAGAAATTCTTCAAGGCTAGGATACCCCTCTCTCCAATGGAGCTGTTTGATTTTTTAAGTAGCTCCAGAGAACACCAAGGGAAGTGTTGGGGGGGAGTAGAAGGGTACAGCACAAAGGCATATATCTGGTTACAAATACTGGATGAAGAGAGCCTGGTTTGGGGAGGCTAAAGATCCTCTCGGGGTCCCTGCCAATACCCCCCACAAAATGTTACCTCAATAGACCTCAGAGAGCCGGAGCTGACTGGCTCACACATGAGCAACATAAAGCGTTGCCCCGACACCTGAAGAACGCCCATACAAGTTAGCTAGGGAGCCATTCCAACGCATGGAGAAAGCAAGATGGGTTATGATGGAGGAGGGGGCAGTAATCCCCAGAGCCCAGCTGCTATGTTAACAACACGGAAAAGCAGAATCCCTATAGTCACATTTGTTACCTTAAAAAAGCTACGTCTTTCTACCTCCCGCCAAAACCGCCATCTACAATCTCAACTGCAGTTTGCGTGGTTTGGAAGAGCGAGAGAGAGAGAGAGAGAGAGAGAGAGAGCTGAGTGTGTAGAGAAACTAAAACAACAACAAAAATGGGCTAAAGTTCAGGAAGTCCCTCCACCTGGCAATCTAGTGCTTCAAGGTGAGTCGTCTTACAAGTCACTCACTCTTCCAGTAACTGCCCCAACTGCCCCCCTCCTCCACCCTCACTTCCCCCACTCAAGACGTCTGGGTTTGGAGGTTCCCGAGCTCTTGGGGGAGCTTCTCTCCCCTGGCCTCTAGCTGCAACTTGGTTCCAGCTGATCACAGGCTCCTAAATCAAACCAACCCTAGTGGCCACTTCAGCACAGCTGTGCTCCACCGCACAAAAGTTCTCTCCACACACTTCTCAGCGTGCAAGAAATCGCGCCGGCGCGGGGCAGTACTCGGGAGGGAGGAAAAGGCCGAGTGAAACCGGCAGCAAGCAACGCCCCGGCGCTGAACACGGGGTGTGTGTGCGTCCGGCTGTGGGACAAGAGACTGAGAAAAGTCAGCAATGCCTCATCCCCCTAGCTCTGCGCCAGACCCTAGCCCAGCAACCTGCCTCGGGCAGGACAGCCCCAGGGAGAGCAGGGAGAGCTAGCGCCGAGCCCCACCGCCTGAGCCCTCAGCCCCTCGCTGTCCTGCGGGGCGCAGGGGCCTCCGAAGCAAGGAGAACCCCCAGCAGCCGCCATTTCCTGCAGCCCACACGGAGGTGAGTGGCCTCCTCGTCGTGGGGGGAGCCGAGCTGCCCCAGTGCCCTGCGAGTGGGACTGTGCGCACAGCTCAGGCAGGGCCGGGTGGCTCGGGTCCCATCCTCCAGCCACTCTGAGTTGCAGCCCGCTCCCGCAGCACGATCCCCCTCCGTGCGCCTACAGCCCCTCGGACTCTGGCCGGCCAAGTCGCCAAGTGGGGCTGAGGCCCGCACCGGCGCACTCTGCGCACCCGCTAGCCCATTCAAAGTTGGACGCCGTGAGGAGCGAGCCAGCGCTCCTTACCTTCGACACCGTGAGCGGCTCGCAGTGCTCCAAGCCCCCCTTCAGGGTGAAGCCCCAGGGCGCCCCCCCTTGCAGCTGCACCGGGACGTACTGGAAGGACCCCGGCCGGCTCTCCATCCTCGGCTCGGCTGGCCAGGCGCCGCCGGGCTCCTTTTCCGCGGGGGCTACCGAGCCTCCGCCCCCAGCAGCTCAGCCACCATCGTCCTCCAGCGCCGCGCCGCCCCGCTCCGCCTACTCTCCCGGCTGGAGACGCTCAGGCAGCTAGTGAGCCCTAGGAGGAAATGACACGGAGCTGGAGAGAGAGGGGGGAGGGGGAAGAGAAGGGGGAAAAAGAAAAGAAGGAAAGAGAGGCGGAGGGATGGTGCTTAATGGACAAGAAAACGGAGCAATGGGGAGGGGCAGTCACTGGGACCTCGCCTATAGGATCGCTGAGGAGTGGGAGCAAGGCGAGGCCTCACATCAATTGTTACATTGTTTCATTCAAGTAGGCCCCCTCTTTGGTCCTCCTCTTTACTGCAGTGCTACCCGCCCCTCCTTCAGTTCAAGCAAACCGAGGTGAAAGTCAGTGTGCATGGCCCTTGTGGCCTAGTACACTTTTCTGATTAGCGCCTTCAAGTTTTTGAGTGCCTTTTCTTCAAAAGGTCCTGAGACCCAGGTCCTGGAGCGGGGGAGGGGACTTACAAGACTGCTAATCTGGACCTTGCCTACAGGGGTGGAAAGGAAGGTACACTCAGAACCAGTGAATATAGTGGGGTTGTGCGTGTAGGCTGTTCCACGTACACACTAGTTGTGTGGAGTCATGATGGAACATTGCCTGGGAGCTTAGTTTAAATAAAGGAACACTGAGGATGTCCCTGCTCAGTTATAAGCTAGCTCCCTGCTAGTGTCTATGGGAGTCCTATGATAGTCTCAGTCATCCAGGACTCCTGGCACTGCCTTGCACTTGCCCCACAGAGATGACCAAGCCAAAGATCTGCAAAGCTGTGCCTAGCAGAAAACAAGCCTATAAGAAAGAGCATCCATTGATAAGATGGCCAATTCACGATGTGCCTTTTGGAAGAATCAGCTTTTACACGAGGCCTGAAACTATCTAATCATTTGTTCTTAGCTGAACTTATTTCTCTGACCTTTAAAACAGGCCTAAGAGCTCCAGGAACAGTTCTGAGAGATGAATGTGGTACTTCACCTGACGCTGATATCTCCGCCTTGACCTAGCAGTTTATCTCCCCTCTCAGGGTGTTTTCTCGGCAGCCACAAGTGGGAAGTCACTTTCTAAAGAGCTTCACACTAGCAGGGAAAGTGTTGACAAGTCAACGCTGAATCAACAGGGCATTCTTATTTTGTCTTGCTTCCTATGCAATTTCTTCCTCATCGCAGGCAAACCTTATCCAGTCCCTTCCTTCCATTGGAAAGCTTTCTACAATTCAGGTGTCCCTTCTCTGGTTCCCACTTCTTCACTGCTGCCTGCCCTATATCCCAGGATGCCAAGGAAGTTTCTCACAGTGGTCATTTAGATGTTCCCAATCTGCTTTATGTCCTTAGAGGCGAAACACGTAAGAAGCCACTCTCAAACATTTAGACAGATCTAACAAAACACCTTGAGCATAGTACTAGAAATCAGAAAATGCCATCTCAATTTGCTGATCCCTTTAAAAGAAATTTAGCACTAAAGGATAGAACCTGGGGCCCTGTTCATGACAAGCAAGTGTTCTACCTTTAGATATTTCCCTTTACCCCTCATTTACTATTCATGTTTTTGATACTAGAACTTGAAATATTAATGTTTTTGATGCTAGGAATTGAAACAACTTGTTGATATGTGTGTACATGCACCCGTACAGTGCCGGGGATTGAACCCAGGACCACTTAAGAGTGCGAAACAATCACTCTTGGCATTAAATTAACTTAGTGCAGCTCAGTAGGTCCCAATGTTAGCATTTAGAAATTGGTAAAGTTCAGTTTGCAGAATGTATGATCATTACCCAAGAACTACTAGAATTTTGTGTCTAAGACTTGAAGGTATTTGTAAACAGGAGACATGCTTCTGAACCTTGGCCTTGTCACTAATTAGAGAGGTGGCCTTGAAGAAATCACTGAACCAAGTCTTGGCCATCTTATTTTCTTCATCTGTAAACTTTTGCTAACAAGTTCTGACTTTGCTGCCTCTGAGACCTACTGAGAGACTAAGATGAAACAATACATATGAAAACACTTTGGAAAGGAAAAAAAGTAAAAATCCCCTCAACCTTAATATGAAACAAGGCCCTGAACTAGCCTTGAACCAAACTATTTTCCTTCCAAGCCATACTCCATAGTGCTGTTGGGTTCTTCATCTCCTTTTTAACACTAGAAGGGAAGAAGATGATTTACTTCATTCTTTGCATAAACAATACAGAAATAATAGACATCTTGTACATATAATGGAGACATCTTTCTGCTTCTCTGGAAAAAACCACTACTCTTTCATTTTTACATTTTTTTAAATATTTATTCATTTATTATGCATACAATATCTGCCTACATGTGTGCCTGCAGGCCAGAGAGGGCACCAGATCTCATTACAGATGGTTGTGAACCACCATATGGTTGCTGGGAATTGAACTCAGGACCTTTGGAAGAGCAGGCAATGCTCTTAACCACTGAGCCATCTCTCCAGTCCCATCATTTTTACATTTTTTATAGTCTTACTGTATAGTGGAGGGCTGGACTTGGACTCACAGTTCTCCATTGCTGGAAGAGTAAGTATGTACCACCTTGCCTGATGTGAGAAAACTGAACTCTAAGCTGGTTATGCCATTAGTTAGCAAAGTGGTATTAACCACGTCACTTTTCTCTTCTATAAAATAGTAAGGGTTGAGCTACTTGATTTTTTTGGATTCCTCTGTAATTTACAAACTCTGTGATTACTTCCTATCCATGGTTTGAACATTATACATGCACGCACGCACGCACGCACGCACGCACACACGCACGCAGGGAAACAAAGATTTGATGAGAGAGATGACTCAAGTAAGAATACAGCAATAGAGAACAGCTAGCTTCCAGGTGTATTCTTGCACACAGACTGGAACCATAACAAGATGATGACTTTACTCTGTGAAACTGCCTGTGTACACAAGAAAGTTGAAACTCCAATGCAGGTAGAAACAGAAAACTGCATATCAACAGAGGAGTGGTGACTGGCAATAACACATTAAAATAAGAAGAAAAGGGGATGTATGTGGAATCCTATATCATGCTAATAGTTAAAAGTATTATGCTAGGGGTTAAAGACATAGCTCAGTGTGAAGAATGCTTAACGTTCTTGCAGAGAATCCAAGTTCAGTTCCCAGCACCCACGTCTAGCAGCTTATAACCACCTGTAACTCCACCTCCAGGAAGATTCCCCACCTCTGGCCATCATGGGTACCTGCACACAAAATGTAAATGACAAGGAGGACAACAAAGTATTTAAAATGGCACAGCTAGAAGAGGCCAGGCTAAGTGGTTTCATCCCTTTGACCTGCACAAGAGCTATACAGGATCAAGCCTGACAACATTCCGGCATAGAAAGTGGGAGGGGATGGAGCCCCTTCCCCTAACCGAGAGGCTATTAATTAGTGATGGCTGCTGGGGAGGAAGAGTCAGTTTTCCTTAAGGTGTGCTCCCTGGCAGTCTGACTATGCTCCAGTGGATGGTCCCACACCCCTGAAGATATAGACAGCACAAACTGGACCTAATGGGTTACTAAAGAAGACACAAAACTGAGTTGGGAATGGATTTCTGAATAGTTAGGGGGAGGTGGGAATGAAATGCTCAAAATGCATTGTATGCATATGTGAAATAATTTCAGTACATACATTATTTTTTATTTTACACTTTTTCCATCAGTTTACCTTCTGGGAAGGAAGAAGACTAAAATCGTGGCTCTGTGAGCTTTTTTGAAACTTCCGCTTATAAATTAGTGCTTCAATAAAATTTTCCTCGTAACAGTACTAGTCTCTTGTCTCTTTCTGAACCAAGGACCTTTCAAGAGGCTTCAATGACCTCTGTACTTTCTATCTCAAAACTGGGAGGAGAGGAGGGAGAGTAAACTGTGGCTGGGATGTAAAATAGAGAAATAAATAAGAAATGAAGGTTTAAAAAAATCCCTCCAGAGAAAGTTGAAGGTGTGCCACAGTGATAGAGCACTAGGCAATAGGTGAGTGTGATATGGGTTCCGCTGGAGAAACTGAAAAGAGGGGGAGAAAGGGAGATAGGCAAGGAGGTTGGAGAAGCATCCTGAAACAATGTCCTTAGTCATCTGTATATTGTATTTTTTTTTTTTTTTGCAGGGGAAGGGGAACCTGTGTCCTCCATTTCACTCTCATACCATTTCCATGGCACAGGACTTTTGATAAAATAGTGTGCATTCTCTCTCTCCTCTTTCATGTGATAGGGGCATTTTTACATGCATATCGCTAAAGGGGACCACCAAGAAACCAATGGTGACAACCTTCCTACTTCCTATTTCCCAAAACAATTTGTAACAATTATAAATTGTTATTTTTTTTTTTATCTTTTCTCTGTGTCTACCAACTGGTTCTCAATTTGGGAGTAGAAGGAAAAGAAATTGTCATTTACCACTTGCCCCAAATGTATCTACCCAACCCATATCTATATTACAGGTGTCTGTCTTCTGCATGAGGATCCATATTGCCATCTGAGCATCTATCTATGTGCATCTGTTTCCAAATGCACCTCTAATTTCTTCTGTCCCTATGTCGATATAACAGAAATTGTGGGTAGCCCAACCTCCATGTCACTCTAAAGAGACTGAGCTGGATATGTATGTTGAAATGACAGAACGGGAATGAAAGCATGTCCCTTGACCTTAGATCCAAGGACAATAATCACAGAATCTTAATGATTTTTGTTAAAGAACCTTAGTAATAGCCGTCTCTTTCTTTAACACTGCCAGCACAGGGAAGGGAAGAAAGAATGACCTCAGAGTAGAAGTGAAAAAAAGAAACCAGACCTACATAATCTATAGTGAAGAACAAAAATGAGACCTTTCTGGCCTGTAAATAGCACAGAAAGGGCCACCTTTTTCATAAGCAAATTTTTATATTAGAGAAATCTAACCTGTGTTTTGTGATTGTTATCTAATATTCTGTGGACACAGTACTTGGTGAAATTTGTCAACTCCTTGGGAAAAACAAAGTAAGACAGAATGATGGTTACCATTTGACACATGAAACTCAAGGTAGAGATGGTTCACTACTTTGTTAGTTATCTCCACAATGCTACCTCAAAATTTCCAGTGTTGGTGGCCAAAGACTATCCCTACGTCACTTGTCTCTTAGGCAAAAGGGAGCACAGACAACTTTTTTTAGCAAGACAAATCTTATCAGAAGTAAAATCAAAAGGTGTT